ATTCCCAGACCCAGATCTTTATCCACTAGTCAGATTATCCACTGACTAGTTATCCACTAGTCAGATCTGCCATGATATACTGTATGACTTATGGTGTATCCCTGCAAATGTTTATAGGGACCCACCCATACTATCATTACTGGTTTCACCTCCTTAAGACATGAGTGTTTTTTATTTGTTTTTTTAAGACACCTTAACCCTTCCTATCCTCACACATACTTCCTCCCCCCTTTTTTATCTACCCCCTCCTTCTCCCCTCCTTCTGCGGAGGGCCTCTCTTCTGGCCTATATATAACATCATTGTTGTATACCCGCATTTTTCCTATCATTGTGTTTGCAAAAAGCATTCAACATGTTGTCATGGTCCTACTTGGATGACATCCTTGAGAGATGGGGCTTCAGCCCAAATTTCCTAGCTTTGATCTCCTCACTCTACTCTACACATCCACAGGTGTATGTTAAACATGCGGAATAGAAGTTTTATCAATTTGCTATCTCAAAGCAGGGTTGCCCCCTTCTCCATTGCATCCAATGCTTTGCATTGCACTTGGTGATGCAAGGCTTGGATGCAACTGCTAGGCCAGGGGTGGGCAAACTTTTTGACTTGAGGGCCGCAATGGGTTCATATATTGAACCCGGGGGCCGGACCAAGAGTAGATGAATGATGTGTATGTGTCATCCATAGTAAGTATAGTAATATTCCCCCATAGTAAGCATAGTAATTAATCCTCCATATAGTAAGTAATTTATCCCCCATAGTAATTCATCCCCCATAGTAATTAATCCCCCATATAGTAATTCATCCCCCATAGTAATTCATCCCCCATATAGTAATTCATCACCCATAGTAATTAATCCCCCATATAGTAATTCATCCCCCATAGTAATTCATCCCCCATATAGTAATTCATCCCCCATAGTAATTCATCCCCCCATAGTAATTCATCCCCCATATAGTAATTCATCCCCCTATAGTAATTCATCCCCCATATAGTAATTCATCCCCCATAGTAATTCATCCCCCATAGTAATTCATCCCCCATAGTAATTCACCCCCATAGTAATTCATCCCCCATATAGTAATTCATCCCCCCTATAGTAATTCATCCCCCATATAGTAATTCATCCCCCATAGTAAATTCATCCCCCATAGTAATTCATCCCCCATATAGTAATTCATCCCCCATAGTAATTCATCCCCCATAGTAATTCATCCCCCATATAGTAATTCATCCCCCATATAGTAATTCATCCCCCATATAGTAATTCATCCCCATAGTAATTCATCCCCCATATAGTAATTCATCCCCCATAGTAATTAATCCCCCATATAGTAATTCATCCCCCATAGTAATTCATCCCCCATATAGTAATTCATCCCCCATAGTAATTCATCCCCCATAGTAATTCATCCCCCATATAGTAATTCATCCCCCCTATAGTAATTCATCCCCCGTAGTAATTCATCCCCCATATAGTAATTCATCCCCCATAGTAATTCATCCCCAATATAGTAATTCATCCCCCCTATAGTAATTCATCCCCCCTATAGTAATTCATCCCCCCTATAGTAATTCATCCCCCATATAGTAATTCATCCCCCATAGTAATTCATCCCCCATATAGTAATTCATCCCCCATATAGTAATTCATCCCCCCTATAGTAATTCATCCCCCATAGTAATTCATCCCCCATATAGCAATTCATCCCCCTATAGTAATTCATCCCCCCATAGTAATTCATCCCCCCTATAGTAATTCATCCCCCCCATAGTAATTCATCCCCCATAGTAATTCATCCCCCCTATAGTAATTCATTCCCCATATTAAGTCCCCAAGTCCCCCCTGTGTCAATTCACTTACCTTTGCTCCTCGCGTTCCTCTAGCCGTGTTCCCACGCCGTTCAGGTGTAGCATGAAAATCTGTCTCCTATGAGGATCTGTCCCCCTCGATGTATCTGCGCATGTGCCAGTTTCAGGCATTAGCAGCCGATCGGCGATCTCCGGCACATGCGCAGATACGTCGAGGGGGACAGATCCTCATAGGAGACAGATTTTCATGCTACACGGCGTACGCGGGCCGTAGTTTGCCCATTGCTGTGCTAGGCCATGGAGACCAATTCCATAAAGCTCTCTACAAACTGTTATTGTGCTAATCTGAAGGCCACACCACATTTGGAGGTCTTGCTATTGATTCTGCAGACAGTTGGTGACTTCTGCACACTGTGCACTTCAGCATGCACTGACCCTGTCATTTTACATGGCCTACCACTTCCTGGCTGAGTTATTGTTGTTCCCAGTTGCTTCCACTTTGTTATAACACCATTAACTGGTGTTATAACAAAGTGGAAGCAACTGGGAACTGTGGAATATTCAGTAGCAAGGAAATTTCACGGATGAACTTTTTGCACAGGTGGAAACCTATCACAGTACCATGCTTGAATTCACTGATTCACAAATGCCAAAGACCTACTCACACATTAAAATCGGGTCATAGACCCACCAGGCAGCAACTGTATAACCCATAGTCAGGTTTCTTGCATAGGGAGTCCAAAGATCCCTGGAGAAGTCATGTGTTATCGTGACGCAACATGTCGGACTAGAGCGTGGTGACATAATTACGCAGGACGGCAGCCATCTTTGGACTCCCTATGCAAGCACCCTGACTGTGGGTTATCCAGTTCATGCCTGGTGGGTCTATGACCCGATTTTAATGTGTGAGTAGATCTTTGGCATTTGTGTATGGTATTATAAATTTTACTCTATTACATTATGGTGGCTTTTTCTCTGATTCCCTGTTTATGAGCCATTGGGAGAGTGGAGGAGTTTTGTAAAGGTGCCTTACCATTGTATTGGTTGATTAACTGTGGGCTGTGTGGAAGCTGATCCTGTGTCCATCCAGAGAGTGAGATTCATCCCACCTGGGACTAACTGATGTTTTGTTATGCCTTATGACTCCTTGAGGGTCAAAGATTGGAGGTAAGCGGGCACGCTAGACGGTGACAGATGGTCTGATGCACTTGAGCACGTATTTATTTTCACGGTGGAAGATTGTTTCATCACAGTTATATGTTTGGGACTTTGTGCTATATGATGTATGAATATTGTTAATTTATGGTCACATGTATTTATATTTGGTTAATAGTTGTTTCACTTATATCACCTATCACTTATATTTAGTCACATTCTTGATGGCATATTTTTGGGATACACATTAGGTGCACCACTGTACACCTACAGTATATATTTATTCATATAATTTGTGTATTCACCCATTTAACATTGAGTCCTTTATTTATTTTTTATGTCAATTCTTATCACATGGTATTAGCGCAACACCACCTTATCTACTTATGTTTCATCCATTCTAGTCTAGTTAGGTGTCAGCAGCTTCTTTGTTTTTTTATCTTTGGCAGCGCATGAGTCCACCTCCCTTTATTGTGTATCTTTCATGTTTATATCAACTGTTGAGGTTGAAAAAAACAGCTTTACACTTGCTTGACAGGAAGTAAACTCATTCTGGAGAATTGCTGTTACTTGCTGTCCAATACATTTGTACCTTTTCTCTTTTTCAGTATGAAATTTTTTTTTATTGTATATTTATTTCTTTTTTTTACATTTCCCTTGTAAGGCTATACTTGCTCTGGTTCAGAAGATACATGCAATGCAATGTAGGTACTACCTTAGGCAAGAGGGATGTTTTAGGCATCAACAACATCTTGCCTGTATGCAAAAGTGAAAATGAGCTCCTTGGTAGATAAATATGCGAGCCCAGACACTTGTCTCGCAGCAGTGATGACTGCAAGAAATCCAACTTTGTAGGTACAAATAGAGAGTTAAATATCTCTAACTGCTTACAAAATAGGAAATTTGGGTCCAAATTCACTAGAGACAAAGAGCACAAGCTGGGTTTTACACTCACCTGTTCATACTCCAGCACTACATAATTCCTTCTGTGTGCAGCTGCTCACTTTTTCCAATCACAGAGAGGGTGCAGTCTTAAAGGGCTAGCGTGTTAGTTGCTCATTATCATGAAATGAGTTTAGAAGCTAGCAGCTGTAACTCCTGTGTTTCCTAGTGCCTTCTTGCTTTGTATCAGTGACCAAAGTATTCCCCAGTGTTACAAAATAGAGAAAAAAAGACAACCACAATGGCATAGCGAATTTTCACGACACTACTCAAAATTAGAATTAAAATAAAAAAGTTTATTTTAGATCAAAAAAGTTTTCTTTAAAACCATGTAAATTGTCTTTACATATACAGTAGACATTTTCAAAGCTTAAAATGGCTTCTCTCTTGCAGGTTTCTCTCCACTAGCAATTCTGGTAAAGACAGGAGGCCCTTAGTCTATTCCTATTTGCCCTTCTCTATATAGAGACATTTTATACAGTGCTCAGGGCTGTGAACAACTCACATATGGAGCTTTTGGATATCAACTTGTGATTGACAATCACACAGTACGGAGAGTCTAAATGGTAGGTCTTTGACTTATCAATTGGATGCTATGCTATTTTAAAGGCTAATCCCTCCCTTTCTCTGTTGAGGATAGTTTGACAATTAATTTAATGGCCTTCATGTTTTTGGATCATTGGAGAATGACTTGTAGGCTGTAATAGACATAATTTTTGCTTTATTTGCTAGCATAATTTAAAATAGCACTCTTTCACTTATATATAATTAGCTGCTGTTCACTCCAAAATTAAACAGCTCGAATAAAAGGAGTGAAAGGAGTGTGAGTCAGGAGGCCTGGCTGTAAACACAGCTGTGGCCACCAGATGTCCATCTACAACCTCTTATCTGCCTCTGGAACCTCTTCTGAATGACGTCCCTATGTACCCATGCCTGCACTTAGTCTGGCGCCCCTTTCTCTCCTCTTATCTTCCACTACAGAGTCCAGCTTAACTCTATAGGGTACTGCCTCATGACTGTGCTATCCTAATAGATGAATACCTCCCTACTACCTATGGGACTGTAATATCTAACCCCATCACTTCAGTGCCAATATATCACCTATTACAGTGCTTGAAATTTCCACTCGCCTGCTCGCCAATGGCGAGTGGAAATTATGGTGGGGGCGAGTGTGTCTCCCTGGGCCGTCTTGCTGAACAGGTTCGGAGCTCAGGCCGGATCTCTCATTGGCACTGGGAGCCATCAGACTGCTCAATAGCTGAGAGCAGTGCAAGCAAAGCAAGGAGTGTGTGCTGTGCTCTCTGCCTCCCTCTAGAGTGCAGTACCCGGATCTGTCAGTGAACAAAGAAGTACTGCAACTTTAGTATGGTGTGTGTGTGTGTACACATGTGTGTGTGTTTGTGTGTGTCTGTGTGTATGCATGTACAATTGTACATGTGTCTGTGTGTATGTACATGTGTGTGTGTGTACATGTGTCTGTGTGTGCATGTACATGTGCATGTGTGTGTGTGTTTGTGTCTATGTACGTACATGTGTCTGTGTGTAATGTGTCTGTGTATGTATGTACATGTATCTGTCTACGTATGTACATGTGTCTGTGTGTATGTACATGTGTTTGTGCGTGTGTATTTCTGTGTATGTACATGTATCTGTGTGTATGCGTGCCTGTATGTGTGTGTGTGTGTACATGTGTCTCTGTGCGTGTGTGTACATGTTTCTGTGTTGTTATGTGTGTGTATGTACATGTCTGTTTGTGTGTTTGTTGGTGGCGAGTAACTCTAAGGCCTGGCTAGTAGCTCAGGACTTGAAATTTTAAGCTCTATTATTTATTTAACTAATGTACTTCTTATATTAACTAGTTGTTCCATATTAGAATTTCTTAGATGTGCAAAAATAGATATGTAAAATATGGGATCACTATCTACTTATATTTTTATCTTTACAGACACGGCGCCTCTCTAATAAATTTTAGATGTCTTCGCCAGTTTAATACCATAACTGGCCCTCTCCATGCGTGGTTTTGTCCTTACCATTGATTTTATTGTGGGATTTGTTTCTTTGTCTCCTCAAATGGAATACGGATCAGATTTCTCTGGTGTTGCTCCACATTTGGGTAGCTATATGTACGTGGTCATAGGCATGCATAAGCAATCTGCTGAAACTCTGTATATTTAATAATCTTGTTTTTTTCATATTTAGACATTATTCACCTATTCCTCTCCTGATGAAGTGGGGATTTTAGCAAGAAACGTGTTGAGATTTGGGAATAGATCATTTTATATGTGGAAATCGTGTATAGCTGAAAATCGTCTTAGCAAGAGAGAACACATTTTGAGCATTGGAAATGTCTATTGTATATGTAAAGACAATTTATATGGTTTTAAAGAAAACTTTTTTGATATAATATAAACTTTTTTGTAATTTTGTGTATTGCCATGAAAATCCCGTTATGCCCTTGCGGTTGTAATTTTTCTCTATTTTGTAAATTTATGGGGATGTGGCATAACTAGGCCAAACTTCCAGGTTTTCCTGTTCCCCAGTGTTATCAGTTATTCCAGCCTAGTGGTCCCTGTATATTCCAGCTTGCATCCTGCCTTGTAATCCCTGTGTATGCCAGGCTTTACCTTGTGACCTGTGACCAAGACTGCTCCTGTGATCCTTGCATTGCCTAGTCTGTATCCTGCTTCGGGGACCCCATAAATTCATGCCAGTATTCAGTTTTCCCTCACCACTGTGTCTATCTCTGCACTACAGTAGGCTACCTGCTTCTCTTCACTAGTGTATTTCCCTGTAAGTTCCTGCAGGTTCTCATTACTAACATATGTGCAATTCCAATCTGTATCTTTCCCCGTGCCTCTATCTGTTCCTGTGCACTCTTATCATTTGAGACTGTGCTACGTATAGCCTTGTGAATCCAATAACCCAGCGATGCAGGTGATTTTCAACTGCTATTAGTAGCTGCCTGCTCAGGTGGGTCAGAGGACTACAACCTGGGAATTCCCTGCAACATAATATCTCCACCTCTAGCTACTCTGGTAAAGACAAGGAGGCCCTTAGTATATTTCTATTTGCCCTTCTTAGGGCTTCTCTCATCACTGATTGAGCAGCACACTTGATTCTCTGTGTTTACTCTGTGGTTTTCACCACTGTGTGCCCAGCTGCTATAACCATGTCCGTGTCAGCCAATCGGGATCTAGTGTGAACAGATTCCCAATTAATGAGGCTGGGTATTCTGGGGATTTACAGAAAAAAATAAGATAATGCAGAGGATACAGCAATATCAGATTGCAAAGCAGTAGAACATTGTTAAATGGGAATTTTTGGCTCAATTAACTAAAGACAAAGGTAAGAGACTGGGGCTTTACTATAAGAATTAAGATACAACAGAGGATACAGAAGGGTACAATTGGCCAGCAGCAGGAAAGTTTACTCAGCAGAATTGTTCAAAATGTACCAGCTACAAAAAGTATAGACATGTTTAACTATAAAAAGCACAGATGACAATGTAAAACTGGGCAGCAGTAGGTGGTTCAATAGCAGTGGTTAAACTACATCGAAAGGTAAAACCTAATCCGCTATTGGCAACAACCTGACATTTGTCATTTTCTTTTCACTGGTATTACTAAAGCAGACCCAAAGTCTGCATCAAAAAGCAAAATCTATCAACAAAAATTATTTTGCTACAGCATTTCCATATTCATTTAAAAATGGTAAAACAAAGAAGAGGGTTTTCTCAGCACAGGTTTATACTGTAAATAGGTGACTTGACAGAATTGATGTCTTAAATGGAAACATTGTAAAATATCAATTCTGACCTTTCATAAATAGGCCCTGCAGTGATATGGGTATATAAAACTGCAACACCAGTAAATTATGGATTATAGAATAATCTAGCAAATAAAACTAAACTCATAGTCATATAATGTGTATTGTGAAAATACTGTACAACATGTTTCTCATTTAGAATTGGAATGTTTAAATTATTACTTTAATATTATGCCACAACAAATATGTGCTAAAGAGAGATTATTTTTATAGGTTCAGATGTGTGTGTTTTAGAGCAGTTTAGAGTCAAAAGAAATGGTAGGATTTATAAACATGTGGAATGATTCAGAAAATACTTACAACATTTAATTTGTTCTTTTATTTTTTCCAAACAATTTACATATTTATTTATATGTTTTGACAGTTTTAACTCATGTTTCTGTATTAACCTAAAGAACATGTTGCAGGTTTAACATTCTTCTGTTATAAAAAAAATAAAAGTGGAAAACATCAAACATTTTCACAAAGAAATTTTGTTAAAGTAGGATAAAACATGCTTCGTGCATTTGGCTTTAGACAAAAACATTTTTTTGAAAGGAAGCAGAATGTGTGACTTTCCATTTTCCTGCATTAGTTGCTTATTTATATGTGTGTTCAGAAAGATACCATTTATTCAGGATTACATATTTTTCACAATTGACACCTCAGTCAGCTCCAATGAACTGAAAAAAATTTCCACAAATACTATATAGCTTTCGATATAGCAACAAATGCATAATGATCTAAGGAACTAATCCATCATAATCTCTGCATTTGTCCCAATATAAATAACTAATACATCCAGATAACCAGTCTAATATTTTGTATTGCTGTCTCTACTCTATCAGCATGTGCAATTTACAGGGAGAATTTGGTAATCAATTTTCGAATTTTAAAATTGGCTCATTTACCATCTGTCTGCAGATTAGACAAATTTAGACCTTATAGATGACTGGTGTAATATGGAGAGTCTGGGATCACCAGCCAGCTGCTTGTAAAAGTAAAACAGTTTTTATTGGTTTCAAAATTAAACAAACAAAACAGCTTTCTTCAACCAAAAGAAATCCCAACAGTCCACAATTCTGGTGTATTAAAAACAACACAGTGGCTCACTGCCAATAAGTCCCCACCAGAGTTTAGGGTTCCAGTCTGCTTTGGGGTGCCACCAGGGCTATGGGGGTCCTGCAAACAATACCTCAGTCTCCTGATAGCCCACACTTTCTCACAGCTGCTCCACATAACAGACATATGCTGACTGCTTCCTGATCTTTTTCAAGCTTTTCTTGCAGTTGGGTTAACCTTTTTAGGACCAAAGTCCCTGTAATCATGGTTTGGAGGTTCTTTCCAACCAAAAGTCCCTCTAAGTCTAAGTCTCCAAAAATCTGGGTCCCAAATGAGGACTTACATTCCTGAGAGAACTGCCAATAAGTCCCCTTTTTCCAATGGGACTACCCCAAAACCCTGTATGGGTGAGAACCCCTTAGTACTCAAAAAAGTCTCCTATCATCACCTTAAAGGGACCACAACCCAAATAATAGGGACACTGCAGCGCTACTTTCTACATCAATAGTAAATTACAAAAAAAAGTAAATACCTCTTTATGTAAAAAAAAAAATCAATACATATACAAATATTTCATTTCCTACACATGTGAATAAAGCAGCATTTGTATAATAAAAAAAAAAATAAAGTGCTTCAATAATCATATTCGTGTATAATCCAGAACAATATACAGCATCCAAAAGTGTACATATACAAACACAACAAACAACAGTCCCTGGTTCACAATATCTTTTTCTATCCATACCAGTGAAAAAGCAAAAATACTTACCAGTGCACAGCCCTTGTGCTTTCCAAATATGTCATCACCTATTTGGATAGCCATAGTGTTCTGCTGTAGGGATACCCCACACAAAAAAAGGAAAAAGCATAGAGTCCCCCAAAAATACAAGTGTGTCAACCCTCCAGAACCATACCAGGCCACATACCCTCAACATGGGACAAGGGCCTCTTCCACACAATCATGGCCTGGTGGTTGTGAGGGTTTTCAGGCTTATTGGACTCTAAAAAAACCCCTTTAGGAGTAAGGGGGTACCCCAGACACTGCTCCTCCATGATAAAGAATGGCCATATGGTGGCTAATGACAATGGATCAACCTCATTGACCAAATATAGCCTTGGACATATATCAACTATGGTTGTGGCGATATTAGGGCAGTAGAGTCAGTCACTATTCCTACGCCTTTATTTACTTTCATCTGTTGGCTGGGATTCCCCAGCTGGCAGCTGAATGGCTGGCTCTCTAACAACCAACCTGAAAGGGAAGCTGTCACAATTTGCAGCAGTAGTAACACTGCTGCTAAATGTATCACTTCCTGTTGCAGCAGAGGCTTGACATTTGGCATTCTGTAAGAGAGCACACACCCTATTTAGTTCAGCCATTCACCTGGCAGTATTCAGACTGAATTCAAGTTCAGTTCGAACCCGAAGCTGATCTCTAGTCAGAAGCAAGAATTAAATTATTTTTTATTGTAAGCAATATGTCTAATTTTCAGGCATTAAAATAGAAACAGATCTCTAAATGAAAAGAACCACACACAGGGAATGGTTTCTTTTTAGTGAGTTTTGGTATGAAAACATTGAATTCAGTTGTCAATGAAATCTTTTAGATACTGGAAGATTTAAGAAGACTTAAGAAGTAATTTGATAAATCTATCTGCAAAATAGGAAACACTTTAACAGGAAACTGTAATGGTTTCTGGTCTTTTTTATCTTTTTCTAAAATTTGCAGACTTAAAAGCTATTTTATATTATTCTTATTATTATTATTTATTTGTTTAC